CAATAATCATATACATTGTATATTGACAAAATAAAAATTTAACAAAAAAATAATAATAATTTACCTTCTAAATAGGGTGTTTTTAAAAAATCACATAGGAAAAACATTTAACAAAAAAAAAAATAATAATAATTTACCTTCTAAATAGGGTGTTTTTAAAAAATCACATAGGAAAAACAGTTTTATATAAATAACTTCTGACACTTAACCAACATTTAGCTGTACACTGAAGTTTAATACTCATATTAACATATGCATAATAAATTCATAACTAATCACTCCCTCCCCCAAGATTGGTAGATGTAAATTATATGCCAGAAAAAGGTTTTTAAAATATGAATTGTGTTGAGTACTTTCAGTAAATAATTATTAGTGTTAAAAAAGATATCCTAATATTACCTGGGACAAGATTCAAAGGTAATCTTCTAGGTGAAATTGCTCTGGGGTGCTGCTTACTAATTTCTTCATAAATTTGAAGCCTCTCTTCTAAAGTGCCTATTATCAGTAAATATGTGTGAGATTTTTAGCATCAAAATTTCACCTATGATAAAACGCTAATAAGTTTTTTAAATGATGTTATAAATAAAAATTGCATTATTAATATTAAAGCTGCTTTCAATTTTAGTAAGAATGATACTAAAAACTCTATGGTGCTGAAATACTATAATCAGTAAGTCACCATTTTAAACCCAATCTCTGGAGAAATCCAAAACATCTTTCATCACAACAGATTCTAAATCCAACGCAAATCACATACAAGCCACACAGACTCAAGGTATGCTGCACTTTCCTTATATTCCTTAGCACATAACCCATGAAAAAGAAAATCCTTCCATGACATATTTTACATAAAGAATCTAAACAAATGAAGCCTACATATATCCCCACGTAAGTCTGTAATGCCTGTTGATTAAGCTTAAAGAAGCAACAGTTTTAGAATCATGATTGTGAATGTTTTATATTTAAAAAGATAAACTAAATTTCTACGGTAGCTTTGACACTTAAAATCTTCAATGAACTCTACTATAAAGAACCCCATGAGTCTAGATTCTTTAAAGCAGTAATCATTTCTCCCAAAAGACATAAAATACACTGACAGAAATTTGTTTCTTCTCCCTAAATAACCACCTAATTTTACAGAACCGCAGAGGACCTATATGAAAACTATATATTATCCTGCAACAACAATATGCAGAGCACATTTGGGTGTAGTTCATTATTCTAAAATAATATCCTGCATAATTTACAAAGAAATTACATGAATTATTTTATAGAATTAATATGACAATTTACAGCAGAATTTTAAGAAAAAGCAAGCAAATCTCTTTTCAACCTGTAAGGTTTTATGTAGATCTTAACTCAGACCACAGAAATACAATTATCCTAAGAATACCCCTTAGTGCTAGCAAACAAGATATCTCCATAGTAAATGCAGTGTTTAGTATCAAGATTGTAAATACTTTACAATCTTTAAGAAGTAAAGTTTGATTTTGTTTAGACTCATTCCTTCCCCAATAATACGTTTTGGAGCTCCAATGTGGATGAAAATTAAAAACTGGGATATGTGAAAAATAATTTTCACATTCTGTTAACAATTTGGAGACTTCACAAAATATTAAAGACCCTTGTACTAAAATTTACATGTGGCTATTGCATGTATTTTTTTAAAAAGCAGTTCTCATATTTATGCCTAATGTTAGAGAATGACAAGCTGTTAAGTATAAAGAAAATTCCCCAGTAACCCAGCTACAACAAATCTTATCCTATAAGTGTAGGTAAACTGACATTAAGACAAAACTAAACCATTTCAATGCCCTATGTGAAGTCATAAGTTGGAGATCCAGAACTTACCATGGGGGAGAAAAGGTCCTAAGGAACCTAAAAAGATAAAGTAGTGTAATTAGTTTTCTTATTAATACATTTTATAGTAACCAAGGATCCTGACATATGTTACATTTATTTTACTAAAATATTTAAATACTTTTCTTAATTGCAATGTCAGTAGCTCATCATTTAAAAAACAAAATCATACTTATCTCACATTTTCAACTTTCTGGCATATGATTTTGCTCTGTTTTTTCCAAATAGATTATCAACCTAATCAATACTTTAATTATTTTCTTAGAAATAATTAAGAAAGTAAAAGTTTTTTAACAAGTTGTGGTATTAATTTATTTTGCCGGGGAGAAGGAACATGGGTGTCCAGTACAGGGATCTGAACCCATGATCTTGGTGTTATAAGGCTATGCTAAATTTTAAGTATAACAGAAACCCTGGATTAATTTACAACAATGATTAAGACATAAATAAACTTTTCTTATAGCTCATACTACTATAAATGAATATGGGTAGCTACCTACTTACCATACTTTTTAAATTTAAAAGTTCTGCTGTTTCAACATCCTTGAGCCAGTTTCATAATTATTTCAAGCATATATTTATCCATGAGTAAGTATGATTTTAGGAATATAATTGCTCCTACCAACATTTAATTATGAAAATATAAGGGGAAATTGGGAACACTCTAGATTTCTGAAAAGGATCAAGGCTATCTAATTTCAAAAGATGTACAACATGTTGCTCTACACAAACTGCCCTGGTGTGAAATTAAGAGAATAATTTTCATGCTGGTGCTATATACTACATACCCTCAGCAAGAATTCTTTGGCCTAATTCCTATGTTTAGAGGTTGAGCATAACAGACCTCTAATGAATTAAATAATTACGATATTTCTCAGAAAGGGAGAATTAATTTTCTTCCCCATCTCTCTAGTTAGTCTAAATTGATAAGATTTTAATGAGTCAAGGAACCTAAAATTAACTGTAAGCACTTATCACTTAAGTGTAAATATCTGAATTTCTTTTCACTCTCATATTTAACCTATAATTTTACTAAATGGAAAAACAAATGCTAATGTTAAAATTATTTGTTCTCTGGGCCATAATAATCATACACATTGTATATTGACAAAATAAAAATTTTTAAAAAATAAATAAATAAAATAAAATAAAATGTACTCTTGTATCTTCCCCCCCCCCAAAAAAAAAAAAAATTATTTGTTCTCAAGTTTTATCACAACTTTACATTTTATTATACTTCAAACACTAGCTAAGAGAAGGTAGAGGAGAAAAATCATTACATACTAAGTTGCAGAGCTTTTTCCAGGCCTTCATAATAATACCAATTTTCTGCATTCCGATCAATCAAGTTTTTGAATACTTCACTGGCTTCTTTTAATCTTCCCAATTTCAACAGTACTTCCCCTAAAATTAAGTTTAAAGTCACATTCATTTTATTTCAACATTAAATATCTTTCTGATCCCAGAGATTTCACTAGGGATTATTAGCGAATAGATGTTTATGAAAGAACTCTATGTGCTTCCCCTTGGGGCATGTTGCAGTTTACATAACTAGACATAGATTAAGTCGCAGCTTGCCTTCAGAAATGAACATTCATTTACACATTCTTTTTGGCTCCCTCCCACACCCCAAATACACATACAGGATATTAACTTAATATAAAACCATTGCATCATACACATTTTAATATCCTTTGAGATAACTAAAGACCCCCTTACATAGCAAAATTAGATTGTCAAATAATTTTAAGAAACATCCCTCCTTTCCTCCTTCAAGATTTCAATGTACCTTTCCTGATTAGTTCATACATTAAACAATTCTCCATTCAATTCTTAGTTTCGGGCCGGCCCGGTGGCGCACTGCTACAGTGCGCCGCTTGGGAGCGCGGCGTCGAGGGTTAGGATCCCACATACAGACCGGTTCCTGCTCACTGGCTGAGCGAGGGGCGGGCGCAGCACTGA